CAAGGGCAGCCACTGCCTCTCTTCTTGCCTTGTGAGAGTGGATGCCTCTTTTATTTTGGTTGAGCATTTCTCACTCAGCTTGGCACCTGCTGGGGGGTAGGGGCCGGCTGGGTGGGAGCGGAGAGCCCCTAGGGCCCACTTCTAGGAGACAAGGGCAGTCGGGTGGGGGTGGGGCTTGTCTTGGACTTAGGGAGGAGCGAGCATGTAAGACCCCGTCATGCAGTGAAGGGGGTTCTCACTGTCCTTCAGGAGTGGAGTGGGCATTGTCATTTGCAGTCTCCTCAGTATTCTGCGACTACAGAGCTTGGTGGAGGCTAGCCCAGGCCTTGCGTGGTGGGTAGGCAGGGGCTTCTGTGTAGATGGGTCCAGCATTGGGGTCAGAAGATGCTTCTCAACAGAGAACATCACCCCAGCAAACCTTCTAGGGAAGGACCATCCTCCCTGGGTTGGTGTGTCTGTTCCTCCTACCTCGCTGAAGGGGCCTGGCGGGGGGTGGGGGGGCAGCTGGAGGTCAGGGTCCCGCCGGCCCGAAGATGAGGCCTTGTGGTCCCGAAGTCCTGGTGACGTTGACACATCAGGACACTCTGGCGCACATGCAAGTTGCCCCATGAGGATGCTGGTTCTGATTCTGTGGGCCAGGCTTGAGATCTGCACAAGTCTAACAAGTCCTGAGAGATTGTGAGGAGGATGGTGCAGAGCCCGCCCTGCCCGCACCGGCTAGCCTCTCTGTCCCTGTGCCTGCTGATGGGATGCCTGGGCCTGCTGCTCTGTCCCGGGTTCCCTGTGGCCACCAAGTCAGCTCAGGCTGGACCAGGGAGGCAGGCAGGAGGTGCCAAAGCAACCTTAAGCTAGCGACGGGTGGAGGAGTGAGGCATGTTCTGCACTGTCACCCAGCATCCTCAGTGAGCTGAGCCTCAGGAGCACACTGGTTCGTAGCATGCTTCCTTCCCCCCACCTCCTCTTTCCCCCTCCCTCCTCCCCACGTGCTGCTCCTGGAGAAATCAACAACAGATGTTGTCAGTTACAAAACTATTATTACTATTTTCGTCATCATCATTGTCATCCTCATCATCTCACTCTGTCGCCCAGGCTAGAGTGTAGTGGTACAATCAAAGCTCAGAGCAGCCTCGATCTCCTGGGCACAAGTAATGCTCCCACCTTGCTTAACCTCCTGAGTATCTGGGACAACACACGCACACTACCAGGCTTGGCTAAATTTTAACATTATTTGTAGAGACAAGGTCTTGCTATGTTGCCCAGGCTGGTCTTGAACGCTTGGCCTCAAGTGACCTTCCTGCCTTGGCTTCCCACAGTGCTGGGATTACAGGCATGAGTCACTGTGCCGGCCCAGGAGGGGAGTTTATTGGAAGCCCATCAGGAGGTGCCACACTTAGAAACTAGACAAGAGCCAGGAGAAGCCCCAGAGAGCCTAAGGGCAGGAAACACAGGATGGTCCGGCCAGAGGCGGCCCACACCCTGCTGGTGAGGGTACTGCTGCCACACTGACAGTCTTACCCTTCCAGTCTTCATGCCTTGATTCAAAGGTCCCTCGGCTGTGTCTGACACAGGCCCAAACCTGACCTCCGGAGGGCAGGGAAAGGAGAAACTGATCACGGCTTACCGCAGCCTCAACTGCCTGGACTCAGGCAGTTCTTCTGCCTCAGCCTCCTCAGTAGGCAGCACTACAAGGTGTGCACCACCACCCCCGGCTAATTTTTTTATTTCATAGAGACGCGGTCTCACTATGTTTCTGGTCTCGAACTCTTGGACTCAAGCAATCCTCCTGCCTTGGCCTCCCATAGTGCTGGGATTGTAGGCATGAGCCACTGCACCCAGCCTGGGGAATTACCTTTAATAAGAAGCCAGGGTGGAATACTAAATAGGTTGCCCTTCCAAGAAAGACGTTCATGCAGTGCTGGCTACAGAGGACGTTGCTGATGAAAGTGCTGAGTTGTAGTCAGGCTCGGTGGCTCAGCCTATAATCCCGCGCTTTGGGAGGCTGAGGTGAGTGGATTGCCTGAGCCCGTGGGTTCGAGACCCACCTGGACAACTTGGCGAGACCTCATCTCCACAATAAATAAAAAATTAGCCGGGTGTGGTGGCGCGTGCCTGTAGTTCCAGCTACTTGGAAGGCTGAGGCGGAAGGATTGCTGGAGCCCAGCAAGTCGAGGCTGCGGTGGCCAGGAGAGGCCACTGCACATCCAGTCTGGGTGACAGAGTGAGACTCCAACTCAAAAAAGAAAAATAAGTGTTGAATTGTAACTGGACCCAAAGACACAGTCCTCTCGGTGACCGGCAGGCATAGTGAATTTGCAACAACCCCCTATCCCCAGGAAGAGGCTGTGGGCTGGGATCCTTATCTGGAAACACCTGGCAGGATCATGGCCACGAAGCCCCAAGCTTCCTTTAGGGCAATTTGCATTTATTTATTTATTTTATTATTATTTTTTTTAGAGACGACAAGGTCTTGCCAAGTTGCCCAGGCTGGTCTTGAACCCCTGGACTCAGACAATCCTCTTGCCTTGGCCTCTCAAAGTGCTGGGATTACAGGCTTGAGTCACCATGCCCCACCCCGCAATTTGCATTTAAAAGAACCGTCCCCACTCCTTCAGTAAAGGAAGTAATGTTTTGTTGCTCTCGGGACTTTCTCTGCCCTGGGACTTAAATTTACTAGCTGTGCATCTTAACAAAGAAACAGCCAGAAAGCCACCACCAGCCTGAATAGGCTCGCAGTCATCGTTCCACTAAGTTCCAATTGTTCCCAGCCTCCTCTGGCCTCTTCCTGAGTGAGGCCCGTGCTGGTGGGGCTGCTGTCTATACTCATGCTGGGAGAATGGAAGAGACAGGTTTTTCTGCTCTGAGGGGGATCTAAAAACACCCAGAATTTACTTACAAAAAACTGTGTATATCCCTACATGTTTAAACTTCAGACACTTTCAAAGTACTCTTTGTTTGATGCAGTACACCTATCGAGATGCATTTTCCACTGCTCAATGGTTTTTGAACTTGTCCATTTTGATGCCTTTTAGTGCTTCTGCTGGTTTTTTTGTTTTTGTTTTTTGTTTTTCACCTCTTCCACATTGGCCAAACATTTCCCTTTGAGGAGTTTTTTCTATCAGGAAAACAAAAAAAAAGGTGAATAGGGAGGGTGGGGCACAGGGGTCATGCCGTTTTTTTGGTCAAAAACTGCAGAACATTCAGCCTGTGGGTAGGTAGGTATGCTTGCAAATCACCCATCAAGAAATGGGCAAACATATTGAAAGAGTCTCCAAAAATATTCATTGAGCTGAATGTAGCCTCCCGCAACCACGCTGGCTAGCACACTGATGCCGATGGGTTCCTAGAACATTCACCTAGCTGGGGAAGCCTGAACTACAAGGGGTTCGCCCTCCAGAGGATAATTCTGGGTTTTTTGGGGTCTCCCTCATAGGTTTTATCATCTCTTCCCAGATCTAGGAAGGGCTGGAGTCTATTGGAAAAGGGAAGGACAGGGTTCTGAAGGTCAACTGACCGGGACTCTGTGAGGGTAATGTGCTTTACCTTTGGGGAAAAGAGCAGATGTTGATGTTGGCCTGGTACCTCCGAGGCTGTGGCAGCAGCATGCTTTCTTCTCTGAGGACTCCAGTGTCCGTGCCTGATGCCCATTTCACGGTCAGGTAAAAAGAGCTGCTCAGTGAGCTCAAGTGAAGGAGTCCAAGAAGGGACCTTGTCTGAGGCTGGCCTTGAGCACTGTGGCAAGAGGGGGCTCGAGGCCCTGCAGGGCTCCGGTGCCACACGTGGGGTGCCTGCTGTCTGGGCTTTCTGTGCTTGTTCATCTTTGGAGCCAGTTTGGTGGGTCCTTCCAGGGTTGTGGGCCAGGCCACGTGGGTTGGTGGCCAGTGTGGGCTGCCTGCCCCTGGGCAAGAAGCCCACCCAAGGACCTATGCCTGTGACCTGCTGGTAGGGGCTGTCTCATGGTACACACTGTCTGTCTAGACAGCGGGAGCTTTTTCTTTTTCTTTTTTTTTGAGTCAGAATCTCACTCTTTCACCCAGGCTGAAGTGCAATGGCATGTTCACGACCACCGCGGCCTTGACCTGCTGTACTCAGGCGATCCTTCCGCCTCAGCCTTCCGAGTAGCTGGGACTATAGGCATGCGCCATCATACCTGGCTAATCTTTTGATTTATTATAGATACGAGATCTCACCAAGTTGCCTAGGCTGGTCTCGAACCCCTGGGCTCAGGCAGTCCTTCCATCTCGTCCTTCCAAAGTGCTGGGACTATAGGCATGAGCCACCACATGCCTGTGTAGGGACACAGTGACAGCAACGGATCTCTGGGACAGGCTCTCACTCCTGGAAATGAGTATCAACGCGGAACCGCCACCACTGCTTTTATATGTGTTGATGAGATGTTTCCAGGCATTGATTTTCCAGGGGTGACCAGGACCACCACATCCCCCATCCCTTGGGACTTGTATGAAAGACAGATTTCTGGACCTCTATCCTAGAACCACAGGGGTGAGGTCCAGAAATGGACATTATAATGAGCGCCCACCCGGATGCTTCTCGTATGAAGATTTTGGAGAGAAATCCTTGTGCCTGCGGGTGACAGGGACTCTGCTCCCGTCTTGGCATGTTACCTCCACCCTCCCTGAATTCAAAGCAGAACTAACTCAACGTGGCTTTTCTTCCCTGGCACCTGATGGAGTGACTTTGTTGTGTTTTCCCTTTGGGAGATATGAAGACTCAGGCTGAGGGTTTCCGGGGGCGGATTTCAGGAGGAAGCTGAGTCCAGAGAGGCAGGCCCAGGCCAGGGCCACAGGGATGCGCCGTCACTGGTAGACACTGGTTATGGGATTGTCCAGCTGGTCTTAGGCTGGCCTTGGGGCAGCTGCGAAAGGTCGCCTGGGCATGGCCTTGAAGGGCTTCACCGGTCATGAAGTTCCAGAGCCAGTGCTAGCATCCTGGGTGGCGTGGACATTGAGCAGTTCCCGAGAGTCTCTCCCTTCCCCCCATAGGCGTGCGCCTTGACCGAGTACGCGGAGGCCGCCAGAAATACAAGCGACGGCTGGACTCGGACAGCAGCCCCTACCTGAGCTTACAGATTTCCCCACCTGCTAAGAAGCCATGTGAGTACCAGGGCAGGCCACACCCCTCTCACCAGCATCTGTACCCGGAGCATCTGCCATCCCTGGGGGGAAAGGCCATCTTCCACCACGGGGACATAGGAGACAGTGTGGATCCTGGGGTGAGGACATCAGTGCCTGGCATCTGTGTCAGATACTTCAGACTTCGTTCAAAAGGCCTTTCCGTGTGGGCTGGCATGGAATGTGGCTCCAGGGAAGGGTGGTCCCAGAAAGCCACGGCCCCTACTCCTGAGCATCCCCCCTCCTCCACTCCCCACGCCAGAGTGACTCTGCAGGTCCTCTTGGGAGGACTCACCAGGAGCTCCCCTCAGAGTACTGTTTCTCAACAGCTCATATCACCGTGACCCCCAACCTTGTGGACTCAATGGCAAAGAGAAGCCAACTGCATTGGCCTTCCTGGCCTCCGACCGACCCTTTCCCCGTTCTCCCAGGCACTCACCTCTCCCTCTTTGGTCGTTGCAGTGACCAAGATAGTCTCATACCTACTGGTGGCCGAGCCGGACAAGCTCTATGCCATGCCTCCCCCTGGGATGCCCGAAGGAGACATCAAGGCCTTGACCACTCTGTGTGACCTGGCAGACCGGGAGCTTGTGGTCATCATCGGCTGGGCCAAGCACATCCCAGGTCAGCCTGTGGGACCAGGGAGAGGGTGTGGCTGGGATTCTCAGCGGATGTCCCCATGGTCTGCCACGGCTGTGGCTCTGATGCTCTGTCCCTGGGAGGCCTCTACGTCTTGGCAAGCCTGTCTCTCCCTGGGCTCCTCCTCTCCCTGGTGGGATTGGAGCGGAGCAGGTGTTCAGAAGGCCCAGTGGTGATGACGCACTGTGGGGGACTCTTCAGAACCCATTATTCTAGGCAGGGCTTTGATTGGATCCTTAATTGGTATAATATTGGAAGAGTGATTTCCTTGGGCCCCAAAGGACAAAGAGTGGGGTTTTCCTGTAGACCCAGGAAACAGGCTCTCTTTCTTCCTGGTGGAGCAGTGCAGAGCATGGGCTTAAGGATCAGGTAGGGACTCCAGGTCTGGGTCTCCCAGGCACCAGCTGAGTAACCCTGGGTGGGTCGCCTGACCCCCATACAGTGGGAATGCAGGAGTGCCCCATGTGGGCTTTGACCTCTGTCAAATGGACCCTGTGTGGGCTTTGACGTGAGGCTGAAGCAAGATCCTGGAGGTGAGCACACGGTGCGGTGTCCAGAACACACTGGCGTCAGTGTCTGATCTCCAGGAGGGCCTGTCTCTTGACTTGGATTCTATGATTTTAAGGGCATGTCCAGCGTGGCAAGTGTGTGTCATGTGTTTCTGGCTGCATGGACGTCCCCTGCCTAGTGGGGACCCCATCCCCACTTTTAGTCTCTCTTGGTCTGGGCTAATAGTGGAACTGATTTTTAATTCTAATTTAATTTAATTTAATCTTGAGTCAGAGTCTTACTCTCTCGCCCAGGCTGGAGTGCGGTGACACGATCATCGCGGATCACCACAGCCTTGGCCACCTGGACTCGGGTGATCTTTTCACCTCACCCTTCCGAGTAGCTGGAACTATAGGTGTTGCACCACAGTGCCAGGCTAATTATTCTGTTGGCTTTTTGTAGAGATGAGGTCTTGCTACGTTGCCCAGGCTGGTCTCAAGCTACCGGACTCAATCAGTTCTCCCACCTTGGCCTCCCAAAGTGCTGGGATTATAGGCATGAGCCACTGTGCCTGGCCTGATTTTTTAATTTTTATTTGTAGACACTGACACCACACACTCTCCATCTCACACATACTGGAGCCTTTCTCTGTGCAGCTGACTCCTCAGTTCCTGTGAGGCTCTAACTCGCTGGCTTATGGTATGGTTGAGACTTCCTGGTGTCCTTTGGGTCCTGACCTGCCATGGTCGGACACGCTTCCTGTCTGTAGAACCCGTTCTTGTCTCTGAAAGATGAGTGCAGCATACGAGATGAGAGCAAAGGTGTCCTGGACTTCAGATGCCAGCGCCCACAATAGACCAAGGATGTGAACTAGTTCTCCCTCCCGTGTGAGACCTCGCAGGGCCTTCTGGGGCTTCCTGGGGCTTCCTGGGGCTTCCCGGGGGTGGGGCACAGAGAGATCACAGGGTCTGGAGGTGCTACCAGTGGTCACCTAGCTGGCAAGAGGCCCAGAATTCCCTCTGTGGGGACTTCCTGTGGCCCCTGGGTACCCTGGCCAGGGATCTGGGCTGGTGCGCCCTCACTAAGGAGCTCAGCCTCTCGGGGATTACACACTCAGTAGTTTTTGAATCTGCCCAGTGCTGGTTCAGCACAGATGTGGGGTCAGGCCACTGCTTAAGACACCTCAGCCTGGATTGCTCCACTGACCCAGGGACAAATTGGGTACAGCTGCCCCACCCCACCCCATACTCCTGTGCCAGGTTGAGCAGACACTGCAGCCCAGTAATGGCTCAGGAGTGGCGCCTGGTGGTCCCCTGGGTCACTGCTTCCTTCTCCCACCACACACTCCTGCCACACCTCGGAGTGTCCCTGTGCCATCTGTCCCTGTGCCTTTCTGCCGCCAGCTCTGTGTGCCATCTGTGCCCAAGACTGGGCCAGGGTTAGGACAGAGTGGGTGATCGGGCCTAGACTTCCAAGTCAGATGGCCTGGGCTTCCATCCTGGCTCGGTCCCAACTGGCCTTGGGTGAGATAGTTTATTCTTCTGCATGTCAGTGTTCTTGTCTGTAAAATGGGAATCCCAAGAGAGCCTCCTGGCCGGCTGCTGGGAGGAGGCGGACTGCTCAGTGAACACTGGGTAAAGGGCCAAGATCCCTACCACACATGGCCTGCCTTGGTCGCTCATAGTTAGAAAAGCCCTCCTTTCATGTCTTCATTTCTCCTGGTCTAAAACTGAGTTCTTTTTTTTTGAGTCGGTGTCTCACTCTGTCACCCAGGCTGGAGTGGAGTAGCATGCTCACGGCCGTCACAGCGTCTACCTGCTGGACTCAGGCGATCCTTCTGCCTCAGCCTTCCAAGTAGCTGGAACCATAGGCAAGGGCCACCATGCCTAGCTAATTTTTTTGATTTATTGTAGAGATGAGGTTTCACCACCTGGGCTGGTCTTGAACCCGCGGGCTCAGGCAATCCTTTCACCTTCCAAAGTGCTAGAATTACAGGCATGAGCCACTGCCCAGCTGAATTCTTTTTGTTTAAAAACATAAAATGAAAATAGGAGCACAGATGTCCATCTCACATGCTAATTTTCCTGCTTTGCATAAATCTGCATGCTGAATTCTTTGGGCATGACCTTCCAGTGTTTAAGGTAAAATTAATTAGTGGAGTCTTCTGCCACTGCGTGTAAACCTCATATTAGGGGCAGTGACACATCAACTGCCTGATATTTTTAAACTAATCAAGTTAATCTCATCTCAGATTAGGTAGAAAATGCATCTGAAGACGGCTCACTAGCCCTTAGAGAGAGAGAGAGAGAGAGGGAGGGAGGGAGAGCTCTAGGGCCTGTGTTGACTCCCATCCATTCTGGGTCTTGGAAAGAAAGAAAGAGGAACCAGTCGCTCAGACTGCCCAGGAGTAGAGCTCTGGGGAACCCCAGCCGCTGTCCTTAGACCCAGCTTCCTGTCTCCAAGCCTGGCATGTGGAGGGCAGGTCACACTGCCTTTGGATGCCGGTGTTGAACAGTCGGTACATGTAAAGTCTCCTGCTAGGGGCTGTGGCTGAGAAAAGGCATTCATTTCACTCCGAGGATCCCGTTGGGAGCAAGGCTGAGTTCCAAGGGGACCCAGGTCGAATTGGGATTGGCCAGAATCTCAGCCATTGCTCAAGAGTCAGTCTGCTGCTGCCTGACCCCAGAGTTGGCTTTTCCTTTTTTTTTTTTGAGTTGGAGTCTCACTATCGCCCAGACTGGAGCGCAGTGGCCGCTCCCGGCCACCGCAGCCTCGACCTGCTGGGCTCCGGCGATCCTTCCGCCTCGGCCTTCCAGTAGCTGGAACTACAGGCACGCGCTACCACATCCCGCTAATTTTTTGATTTATTGTAGAAATGAGGTCTCGCCAAGTTGCCCAGGCGGGTCTCCAACCCACAGGCTCAGGCAATTCACTCACCTCAGCCTCTCTAAGCGTGGGATTACAGGCTGAGCCACTGAGCCCGGCTATTTTATTTTATTTTTTTAGTCAAAGTCTCACTCTGTTGCTCAGGCTGGAGTGCAGTGGCATGCTCACGGGACACTACAGTCTCTACCTCTTGGGCTCAGATGATCCTTCTGCCTTAGACTCCCGGGTAACTGGGACTATAGGAACACAGCACCATGCCAGGCTTATTTTTTATTTATTTATTTTGTAGAGATGAGGTCATGCTATGTTGCCCAGGCTGATCTAGAACTCCTGGTCTCAAGCAATCCTCTTACCTCAGCCTCCCAAAGGCGCGGGATCGAGCTGTCCACATGATGGCTGTCCAGAGGTCGGGCCCAGGTCTTCAGAATACCCACCTCTTACTCCCTGGGGGCCAGAGATGCCAGCAAGATCCCGCAGCCTTTAGCAGGCAGGGGACCACCCAGTGGCCTGCAGCCTTCCTGCCTGCGTGGGGCATCCCTGCACTCAGCCGGGGCCCAGGCCCACGTGCAGGGCCTCCCTGGAGGCATCCTCTGGAAGGTCCCTCACGGCCCTGCTCCCAGGTAGCTGCCGTCTGGCTCATGAATTATGAGCTGCCGAGTGACAGCAGCTGTGTCTGAAGTGGCCCCAGATCCCATAATTACATCTCCCTTTATTACCTCTGCTAATGGCCCTCCAGGTCGACAGAAACGGTCATAAATTAACAGATTATGAACTCTGCTTGCCACAAATTATGCACTTTTCTTTTTTTTTAATTCTAGGATCTTGTGGTGCCCAATCACGGGGTGGCGGGGCGGGGG